ATATATATATATATAATATATATATATATATATTATATATATATAGGCATGTATAGTTGTATATATGCATGCATATAGCATACTGTAGCAACAGCAACAACAGCAACGGCAGCAAAGGGAACAACAGCAACAGCAACAACAACCACCAACAACAACAACAACAAGAACAGCAACAACAAGAACAAGAATAAATAAATAAAATAAATAAAATAAATAAATAAATAAATAAATAAATAAATAAATAAAATAAATAAACTTACTGATTAAATGTTAGATGTTGATCTTTTAGATCAATAGATGATTTATCTGAATATTTTTTGAGTAAATGTTGTAGGTATTGATGTTGTTGTTGTAAATAATATATTTTATCATTAAATAATTCTCTTGGTGTACTACCACTCTGTCCTATCATAGATGTATATCTTATATCCTTACTTATACTAGATACAAATGTTACCCAATCTGTACGACTACTTAGTTCTCCTGTATACATATATACACATATATATATTATTTATTTATTTATTTATTTTATTTATTTTATTTATTTATTTTATTTATTTTATTTATTTATTTATTATATAGAGGTTAGGCAACTCTTATTTATTGTTGAATAATAATAAGAAAAAGGGTTGTTATTATACAACTAATAAAGGGAATAAATAAAATAAATAAATAAATAAATAAATTAATTAATTAATTACCTTTATCTATTGCATCTTGTAATAATTCCTTAAATGCATCTCTTCTCTTCCTTTCTTTACGAAAGTTTTGTGCTTGTCTTTGTTTCCTTTCTTGATCATATCCATGTCTTACCCATTCTTCCCATACTCTATACACATAATTATATAAATAAATATATATTTATATATACTTCCTCTTAATATACAACAACAACAGCAGCAACAACAGCAGCAGCAGCAACAGCAGCAGCAGCAGCAGCAGCAGCAGCAGCAGCAAATTGCTTACTGTAGGACGTCTATCTTCATCATATTTTGCAACTTTGGATGAGAGAGGAGTTGATCCTTAACATCTACCCATCTAAATACAGCATAATAACAACAAGAATAAATAAATAAATAAATAAATATTATAAATTATAATTAATTAATTAAATATTATTTATTTAATTAAATAAAAAAAAAGAAAAAAAGAAAGAAAATACTCACTTCTTCTGAAAAGGATATTCTTGTGGATTTTGTTCCAGTATCTCCTCTAGCTGCAACATAACAACAAAATACACAAAAGAAAAGAAATATAAATAAATAATAATAAATAAATAATAATAAATAATAAATAATAATAATATACAAAGCCAGGCCAAGCCCAATACAATAACAGGTTAGGGGAAGTCATAAACCCGCAGTAGCACCAAAGGAAGGAAGCAGATACAGATGAAGAAAACAATAATAAGACAAATAAAAAAGAATATTTTTCCTGTGTATAGAATAACAATAATAATGAATATAAATAAAATAAATAAATAAATAAATAAATTAAATAAATATACCATAGCAACATCTTCACGTCTTCTTTGTTTAATTTTATCTTTAAACATTTGCTCGTTATCGAACATCCATTCCTGAAAAAAATCATCTCTTTCGCTTTCTTGCATCCAAGTCCACCATTCTTCGAAATGGAAACGATCAGCTACATCTCTGTGTAGAAAAAATAAAAAAAAAAGCAGAAAAAATGAATAGGAACAAGAGGAGGACAAGGAGGTACAATATGATGTATGCTGCCTGCATATATATATATATATATATATATATATA